GTGTACGATATATATTATTTATTACTATACTACTACTCTACTATATATATATATATATATATACTACTTATTACTATTATATATTATTATATTATTATATATATACATACTACTACACACACACACACTCTCTCTCTCTCTCTCTCTCTCTCTCTCTCTCTCTCACACACACACACACATATATATGTATATACATATACATATACAAATTTAGATATATACATACACAAATCTATGTATATATATATATTCAGTATGAATCTATTAGGTCGTTGCCAAGCGAAACCTCGCTCTTCTCGTATTGTTTAATTGAACGCGAAAAAATATGCTTTAGCAATTTCATTGTTGTTAAGATGACCTATATGTGTATGCATGTTCGATGGCGGCATTCGTTTTATGTATTTTCGATGGTTCTATGAAAATATCTATTTGTGTATGCTTGCCATGCAATGTTGCAATATCGCTTCAGTATTTATTTTTGCTTGTAATTTATTTTCATTTTGCTCCTTTGACTTGATCTTCATATCCATTGCGCTTTTGTGCAAAGCTTCGGATTTCGAGCCGTGAACCCATATCTAATTATGGTAATTCGTACCTCTTTGACTGAGTTCAGTTCGCTTCATGCAATCCAACCACTACAGTGCCATTATGGTGAGCCGCTTCCACCCCGAAGGCGTTATGGACCGCCTTCTACCCAAACTCATGCACTCAGGACAGCTGGTACTCTTCTCTGTCATGCCCGAGGTGCTTGTGCCCATCCGCAACAACATGCGTGCACGCGACGACTTTGTCAATGCGTCTCTATTTGACACTTGGACTAGATCGTACCAGATCTTGCCCCAGCGCACACACCCGGAGAATAACATGACGGGCAGCAGTGGGTATGTACTGTCGGCTACGTATGTGATGACTAAAGACATGTGTGGGATTAGTGCTTTTGTGCCGCCGCCAAATAAGCGCAAGCTGATCCAGATGGCCAAGGGAGGTAAGAAGGCAAAGATGGAGGCTGAGAAAGTGAGTGAGGGTACCAAGGAAGCGAGTGATGTAGAGACCGCTTCTACTGGGGACAATATCGCTGAACAAGTGCAAGAGTTAACCAGTGAGACCGCCGAGGTTGTTTTCACGGATGCCACTAAATAAAGATCGTAAACAAGTTTACTATGAAGATTTCGCAGAATGTCTTTATTACTGTTGTAGTTCGCAAACCAATTGCAAATTCGTGTTATCAACAAATATGTGCATAGGTGCTAAATCAGTGGTTACTGACGAAAAATATAATTATTTCTCACCAGGATACATAGCTTTACCCGCAACTATGATTTCGGTCAAATTGGATGGAGTTACCCGTGTCCACACAAGAAAGGGCAGATATGGACAAATTACTCTCTACAATCTACTAGTTTCTTCACAACAGCATAATTGTATATTGTTTGGCTCTTGGTTTGGAAACAGTAGGGAGAGTTATATTCAGTGTCCGCGAATCAAGCATATTGACCATAGCATACGCTACTGAATAATCGTGAGCGGTAGTGATAGGCAGGCAAATTTCAGGGGTTTATGTATGAATGTAGAAATATGAACGAAGTAGTGAATGTACTGTACATACCGCACTCTTATACCAACTACACTTTTATACCAATTTCCCGCACTTTTATACCAGATCGGGGTAAATATTTATTATAGATTTACATAAAAAATGCGATTCACAGTCCAGACTCCAGACTCCAGGAGGCTATGTAAAATAATTATATATTGGGACAATCTATAACATGTTAGTAATATTTCACCTAGTCTCCTAAAACGCAAATATTACTCTGTGATACACTAAGAATGGAATGGTCTATGTTGTAAGCGTCTATGAGGTCATGTCCAATAAGTTCTTTCGTTACGTAGTCTAAAGTTTGTGTAGATGGTAAAAAAATACAAGACAGAGCACTTGTTATCCTGGAAGTGGGTCTTTTTAACAGCACAATAAAGTAAAAATGTAATGATATCCTACATTCCACATCCGATTATCGTGCGCCTTGCTATACCGGTATTTGAGATACAAGCAGCTCTATCTTAAATAGTGACACTACAGATTAATTGACTTTTTATAGAAGTTGTACGCATCTGGTACTGTGTGTTTCGACGGTTTTCAAAATAGCACACGGAACGAACCTGACCCGAGACTTCAACGAAACAATACGGTTTTACAACGTCAGAAACAAGTATTTCACCACCGAGACTTTTCCGACGGCATTGGGATCATACGTATATGCTGTGAGATCATATGCATATGCTGTTACTTATCTATACAGCCTAATGATCACTCCCGATATATCTTTAAGTGCGACACAGATCGGTCCGTCGTTTTACAGTGGGTTGTACTTGTGCTAATGTACCCTGTACGCTGACCGTGAAGGTATCGATGATGATCCTACTTGCACGAGGGCAGTAGAGATTGCGAATGCTTTCGAGCAGTCGGATGATATGACGTGGTTAATGATTTGCTTTATGACAGGTCGTATCTTCCGGATACTAACATTCAATTGTACTTCTAACTATTCGCATGTCACCTGTTCATAGTTCATATTGTAGCATCCGGGAATCTGGCACGTTTGTGTTCGCAATGAGGGCTTGGTTTTTACGTTTTTAGACAGAGATCGGATTTTTCTATATAATTTCATCGTCCGTCTACAGTCCATTGTGGAGTTATGTAGTGTGTTAGATTTATCTACAGTGAAGTGGATCGCTGAATGAAGCCACTAGGCTAACATTTAAACCATATCGATTAAACCATTCAACCTATTAGTCGAAGCGTATTCAAATTTATCAACGTGACCATAGAACCGTTGCATTAGCGTGTCAAAAATAAACAGGCAGAGTCTCTACACCTTTGAAAATCGATGGGCGAAAATTGTGTGCTGTATTGAAGCTTAGAAGCCAGTTTGTGAAAGGCAGCAACTGACCTGCGTTTGTCTGATTGTTAGTTTGAAATATCTTTCGTCCAGCATTACATCGTAGTGGTATAACCATTATTAAGATTGATGTATCACTTGAGCTGATCAGCATAGTGACACTGTACGTGACACTGTGATCCCAAGCGCTTATTAAAAACCGTCTTACCCTCTCGTACAGGATATAGTAATATTGTGTTTTCTGGTACTGTGGATATACGTCACATTTAACCACTGACGCACTGGTTGGTGGTACGCCCCGTGTACACTGACACGTGGTGTGCATACAGTCACAACGCCGAAAACTAAAGGCGTTTCGCGTACGTCTTGAACATCTTATTTCGCACTGTAGATACTATAAGAGAACAAAAGTTATTAATACTCCTTCCACTGGTATATGTGACTTTATGATTTTATATCACCGTAGAGCTGTGTCAAACTCTGGAGCAGATAGACGAGACGATTGCGAGAGAGAATGAAATACATAGTAGGAACACAGGCAATGGCACAGCCAATGCTGAAGAGAGGCTAGATGACGCAGCTTACGATAAAAAAGCCGGTAGGTGGTTCCTTAACAACACGCCAGCACTGACGAGACCAGTGCGTGCGCGTTGATTGTTCATTGGTTCGAATACTGCAAAGCAATAGCGGTGGCGTAAGTGATGCACCGTAGGGTACTGCACACGCGTTTATTCATCGACAATGGTCTTGGGTAGTATAACGATACGGCATCTGGTGTGTGGCGCAGGTTCTAGCCAGAGAACAATTGCAGGAGAGTATGATACACATGTCCGGGTACGTACACTTATACACGGGGGTGGGGGTTGCACGAGCATAGGCGGTTACACTGGGACTCCTAACCTACATGAATGCCTTAAACGCTTCTCATTAAGGGCCTCAATGCTGCTGAAGGCGAAACTACAACAAGTACACCAGCTGGTTGCGGAGGCAATGCGATTGCAGCGGATATGCGCCGAGCTCAAGCACAAGACGGACCGAGTAAGGTCAACCCTGCCGTCAGGACAAGGTGTGTAGGATGAGAGCGAATCGGAAAGTAGGTTGTGTGTTCTTCCTGTTTTAAGTCTGGGGTACGTTTGGTTTCGATTCGGATCGTATTTTTGTTTGTAGCGTGTTCGCGCGATAGCGACTCAGGGTCTGCCTGCAGTACTGCATAGCTACATGGGGTGTAGTACAGTCCTGGGATTGTCTTTAGAGATCAATGCACACCTAATTTAGGCCACACTCACCCATAGCAAACAAGTACGATATAAACCGACCGCATGCGTGTGTGTGTCTATGGGTATACATATACCTAGAGACTATACATATAGCTAGAGACATAGACGTGTGTTCTTCTTGTCCCGTGTGGGCGTTCGCACCTTAGCACGTGGGTGTGTATCTAGGTTATGCATGCCTACTATCTTTGGTACGTCAGGGTCTGAACTATTCTTTTGCGCGGATATTCATTGCCATCCGTGTAATGGTCATGTTCTCTAATGTAACTCCGCTGTAACTGCTTCTGCGGGTGGCAGCTCTCACCGTTCACCCCAGATTGCAAGTGCCAAACACGGCAACTGACAGAGCAAGCCCTTGCTGGTGCGCGTGTGCATCTTTTGACTCGGTGCTATCACGTGTCCTGGTACAACACTTGATACTTACATGATCATGTACAACCATTATATCTCACTTGTGTAGGCGACCAGCCATGTGACATCGAACAAGACATTGTGACGGCCGAAGCCCGAGGCCCACTTCCCGACGCAGAGTTTGTGGACAGTGTACAGACCTTCTATGCTAACACAGCCACCACATGCGTACTCAACGCTCTGGGTGAAGGAGAGTCGTTGCACGATGTTGCGCAGAGCATATACCAAGCTGCTAGCGAGGCGAATGCGTCCGTGATTGCGTACTTTGCGCCGTTGTACTCTGTAAGTGGGCTGTACGGAGGTTCGGTACCAGACTCACGTGTCGGCAACCATGGCAACAGTTCGGAACCGAGTGGTCTCGGCCCACATCTCCACACCGGCACCACCACCATGCGCAGTACAGATCGGTTGTTGGACGTGGTATGTTCAGAGATAAGAAACAAGTGGGATGTGGTTGTGTACAATCTGCCTAAGTTCCTCGGGGCAACCAGCAGGACCCACAAAGTAGCCGCTAGCTCAATGCACGCGCTGATACCGTTTCTACAACGTGTGTTTCTGTGGCGATTGTCCGAGGCGGCATGTGCTATGGACGCATGGACACACAGGAGACCAGTTTTAGCGACGACGCATACTGCAACGTTGATGCTCATACTAACAAGCACGGTGGTGCGTGTAGGTCTGTCGGTGCGTGTACGGGGTTGAGTTTGTACTGGAGTTGGCGTACCGACACAGTTGCGTACGATCCGGCGACGATGGACATTGTGGATGGGGCCCTGAATGCGCCCGTGCAAGTAGACCACCCATGTGTGGTACTGCTGCCTGGATGGATTGCGGAGTACCCTGGCAGAGTTATGGGGTTGTATGGGTTTAGTAGCGAACTACCTACTATTTATCTCGTAGATACGCTTGTTCACTGCACTAGGGCCGTACATGGACTGGTTGAGCGTTTGCGGACGCGATTAGTTTCTTCTCTATTTCTGGAGCGCACGATTGTTCGAAGTACCAAACGCACAGGCCAATAGTCTCATACACATCACGACCAATCACACACCTTGACCTGCGCAAATACCAATACAACAACAGGTGGTGTTTATGTTGATCCCATTAACAATACCAAGTACAGAACCCAATGATACAAAACATCTCTGAAACCTCGCTCCCAAAGCCCTCACTAAATTCGCACTCAACAGGACCATCGCCCCATGCAACCGAGCAGACAGTGCTGATCAAGGCACTCGCCCTACCGAGTGACTATGTGACCAGTGGTGTGGAGAATCCGCAGAGTAGCACAACACACACAGACGACAAGGTTCGCCAGAGCGCACACAGTCCGTTCGACACGCACTCATACGGCCAGGATACCACATGCACCGTCAAGCAGAGTGAAGCTGTACGTGGCAGTGGCTGTGCATGTGCTAGTGATTCCGCACGCTACCGAGAAACAGGCGTTACAGATTCGGATACACAAGTTACAGGTTCGGAGCCTGGTATTGTGACCGATGGTGTGGATGGGGAGAGATGAGCCCGTATCGTCAGCCGTGTCTAGTTCGTATTCCGAGTGTAACGAGAGTGGTGCGGTGACCATTCATACGACACATACTACTGCAGGCACACCTGCAGGAGGAGGCCATACACCTGCACAATAGCACCCACAGTCTCCCACAGGCACACACTCAGCCCAGTGTGCATCACACACTGACAGAGAGCCAGGGAAACCGCACACAGTCACGCACAGGGATTCTGAGTCATCCGCTGAGCTGATGGATGCTGAGCATTCCACTCACTCGCCCCGTGGGTCGCCAGCCACTACCGAAGACACGCATAAGTCAGATAAATGTACATCGTATGAGTCTCTAACCATCGAGTCGACTCCCGCAGACAGCCAACACGTGGCAGTGGCAGAGGCAGTAGTATGTGGTTCATTGTCGGATACAGCAACTATCGACAGTCACATGGGCCGACGGCAGATAGCGGTTGGGGTCAATATTTCTTCAGTAGATGTGAACGTTTCTGCTGGTGCTTCTAGTGTGTTGGCCGTTGTGCGGCTGGATGAGTGTGCGCCACCCACGGCGGTGGTGTCGGTTAGGGATGGGCACGCAAACACGTCAGCGCAGGCTGTGAGTGGTGTGTTGGAGAGCAGTAACACACCACCAACGTCCTTGGCACAGCAGCAAGAGTCTTGGCGTTGTGGGGGGCCAAGTGCAGAAAATCGTGCGTCTATCAAAGGGTCTCCGCTGACAAATCACCCGGTATCGGCACGTCACTTAACGGAGCAGTATATACAATCGCATGAGCTCGATACTAAATCTGATGAGACAGTAGCCGGGCAACCCCATGATACTAGCCACTATCAGATAACCACTAACACACCAGCCGACACTGTGTCTCCACAGACGTGTGCCTCCGTTGCAAACGTCTGGACACAGCGCCAAACACGCGGTCATTTGCTAGTGATGCGGAGACGCTATGCGCAGAGACGGTCGCAGGACATCGTTGTCTACGATGAACTAGGAAGACCCATACTCACACACGCAGTGGGAGGTGACAGTGGGGCGCGTGTGCTGGTGTGTGAGCCGATCAGGGTACCACCGCAGGCTACTATGGCCGACGACTGTGTGAGTATAGACAGACCTGCGGCAGAGGCTGGTAGCAGTACAGGAAACCGGGACGTATACCGGGACGGTGTAGAAGCTTGTACCACATCGGTGGACGATCGTTCAGTAGGGGTCACGGCTACCTCGCCAGGTACTATGAAGGGCACATCTGGATTTGCAGCTGATAGGGAGACACCTTTATATGAGGGTGCTACTGATAGGGGGGCACCTTCATATGAGGGTGCTATGCACGGCGATGGGATGGAGGGTGGTACTGTCCATGTTGACGGACCTATTAATGGGCCAGAGTCTGGGCCGAAATCCAGCACACGCATGCGGGAGCAGAGTGCTGTAGATTATACTCAGGGTGACCAGAGTATAACGGCTACTGGCACAAGCATGGGTGAGCAGAGTGCTGCAGATTATACTCAGGGTGATCAGAGTATAAAGGCTACTGGCACAAGCATGGGGGAGCAGAGTACTGTAGATTTGGAGATGCAGATGGATGCGCTTGAACATGCCGTCGCGTGCAGGGAAGAACTTCTATCAGGCGAAGAGGAACTAGCGGTTGAGGCGTTGGAAACCATGGCAACCGTATGTGGATCGCCAATCAAAGAGGGTACGGCAAAGGGCAGTGCGGAGAGTCCGGCTGTGTCGACGTCCGATTTTGGTCTCACGTTGGACACCGATGATGACGAACCCGAACTACTGGCTACGGAAGTAGATGGTGGAGATATAGCAGACACAGCGGCACTCCGGGAAATGAAGACAGGCATTGGATCACTCAGTGCTACACCATTGGCTGATTCATGTCCGAAATCACCTCTACAGACCGCAATCGGTGAGGTGGCATCTGCAGCTGCTGCTTATGAATGTGCCCGTGAGTCTGTGCGATCGTCGATATCACCGCACCAAATCGCAGTCACACCACCCGACACTACGCAAACAGAGACGGGCCACACGAACACTACTACGCTGGCTAGCGCACGGGGATGCGATGGTAGTCGCATTGCTGATGAAAAGGATGATGGTGCATTTGGGAGACCGAGCCCAGGCTGTGTCCGAAATAGCTCACAATGGAGCCAGGAATCTGTGGCAGGGTCGCACGCTTGTGGGTGTGCCGACTGTGCCGTTTGTTCAGATGGGCGTGAGCGCAAAGCTCTGCGTTCTACTCCAACGCTGCATCCAGTGTTTAGGATCGCTTCGAAGCTTTTGTCCGATGTCCAAGATACACGTGACAGCACAGAACACCATACCGTATCGAGTGAGTGTGGGGTTGAGAGGGTATCTGATGGAACTCGAGATACCACTACGCCTATATATACAACTGAACCCAATACAGCAGTCAAGGAACTGGGGCGAAATGTTGTAGATCCTCATCTCGCATCTTCCAGTCCCGATGCGAAACATCAGGAACCCCATGATTCAGAAACACAAGACGCCTCTAGTAAATGCGCCTCTGTGGGAGATGGTCGCTCACCGATGGAAGGTGCTGTGGAGCATACGGAGTTTGATACACCCACTGATGACCCAAAGGGCATCACTTGCCCATCAGAGGTGTCTGCTGCAACATCAGGTGCAATGTCTGCGCAGGAAACGGCAGTCAAGTCACAGAGTGTGGTGGACGAAGGGGACATACCGACTGTGCTGGCGGGAGCAGACGCGAGCGGTGAGCGTGGAGTTCAATTAGAGGGTGACCCAATCTCACAGCGACACAATAGAGACGACACGAACACGGCACAGCATGCACCCAAAATAGAACGCTTGCCTGACGCCAGTACCCTGGCAGAAAGGGGCGGACGTAGCGAAGGTAGCCATAGGGACGGTAGGCGATATAGCCACGCGCGTATCGACCCAACCAAAGGATCGGTGGATGCGTATGGGTACGGTGGGGTCACTGTGCACGCAAGAAGCGACAGTGGTGTGGACACGGGCCAGCCAAATGATGGGTATACTGCGTGCAGTAACCGTAAGCGCATGAGGAGCGAGGCAGATGCACAGCCACCCCCTGGGCGGACTACGCGAAACAAGAGTGACGATAAAGCACTCGAGAGAGGGGAGGGACTGAGCCCAACGGGTGGTGGTATGGGATTATCAACCCAGGGTGTTGATAAGGACGCAAGGGTTGGTGTGCAGGATGCATCGTTGGCTGACTTGGGGCTCGTCGCTGTGCCGAAATGCACTGGCGAACATCCGTCACACGCAAGGGCAGCCACACCATCGCAACTAGTTACCACTGAGCGCTCACCAGTTAGTAGCGAGTTAGCTACTGTTGACGAGCGTAAAGAGGAGCGCAGCGCTAGTTGCGATATAGTTTCTCAAAGTACGGGTGACACGCTCTGTGTGGCGTTGGATGGGCCACACACCCTGACATCTGAGAAGGAGGTGCGGTTGGATGGGTTGAAAGGGGACACTCCACAGCACACGGTAACGGCTGGTCAAGGCCAGGACACCAACGGAGACACTCTGTGCAGAGACGGGACAGACCTGGTACAGGATGTAACCACACGCACAGAGGATGTATTTCGTACGGAGGGAGGTGCACACAATGTATTTGACTTGTGTTCTCTCACGCAGCCGGGAAAAGTATACGGCGAGATTACTTCAGATACCACACTTGAGGTTGAAGGCAAGGAACATGATACATCCCTGACCAGTATGCCCCGGGCTGATTGCGGACATACACACCAATTGTCAGAGATATCGGAGCCATTGACAACGTCTGCTTCAAAGACAAAGACAAAGCCAAAATCAACGCCAAAACCAAGGCCAAAGTCAAAGCAAAAGTCAAAACCAAAGCCGAAAGCCAGAACAAACCCCAAGCCAACGTTTACTTCAGAATTCAATACGAAATTCAAGTTTGATGAGTTTCTGTGGCAGAGTGGGCCATATACGCGATCTCAAGCAGCAAGTGAGCACGACCGCTCACCCGCAGTCAAGGCTACGCACACACCTGAGGTACAAAGTACGAGCCAGCAAGGCCGAGGACGAGGGGACTCCACATATGGCAAAAAGGTTGGCAGGCAAAAGAAAGGGCATACTGGCCCCACCAACGACTCTACACCACAGCAACCGACCGAGACACTGAACACACAGCCCCAGAAGGCCAGCACTACCAACACAGCGCACCGCAGAAAGCGTGCATATGCATCGGATATGGATGCAGATGGCAAGGAGACTCAGCCACAGAAGAGAACGAAACAGGCGAAGCAGGCAAAGCAGGCGACTGCCAAAGGGAAGGCAGCAGCCGATCCCGAACAGACCTATGGCCACGCGACAGTGCCCAAAATGGTAGTGAGTATATGTGAGCAGACGTCTGTCGAAACGGACGGTGTGGTGAGAGAGATGGGGACACAGCCAGCTGACACGAGCAGTGCCGCTACATACACTTCTACACACACCTTGGCAGAGACTGGTAAGAGAGGGAAGAGTGGGAAAGCCAACCCCAGAGTGTCTGCTAAGGCGCGTACCGGTCAGGCTGTTAAAATTAAAACAGCTACGCCTGCGCACGCCAAAGTGTCATCGCATAGACCAGAAGGGGACCGTCGGGTGAGCAAGCGTGTGAAGTGTCACACGCTGGATACGCAGGGCTTGTCACAGGCACTGACTACAGACACGGTGCATGGCACGCAGCCGTGTCGGCTGAAAATGATTGGGCCCCGCGCACAGTCACTTGAGGAGGCGCAGGAAGATGCTGTTATGAGCGGGTCGGGGGATACAGCTGGAGCTAAGGCTACTGAGAGAGAGGTGGGACTTTCTGTCTGCGAGACAGAGGAGCACAAAGGGGTGCGACAAAGTGTGGACAGTACAGACCCTGTCCGTGTGAGTGGTGCCGAGGTGCAACGAGTGACGGGTCATACTATCGGGGAGGATGAAGAGGAGATACTGTGTGGGGAAATTATAGGCCTTGGGCGTGTGAGCACTACGGGAATACATGCGGATGAAGCTACGGGTGCGCACGCAGGAGCTACCCGCGTACACCCACAGCAGACAGCACACACGCCACCACTCACACAACCAGAACATGCGACAGCCGCACTGTCAACACAGAACACGCCACAGACGACCCAGACACCAGAAACACCGTACGTGTCACAGACACCGCAGACTCAATTCACAGAGCACGCACGGCAGAGAGGCCATACACCACAGGTGGAACAGGAACAGTTGTCAGATACACCACATGTGCCACAAACAGCACAGGCACTGCATGCGGTACAGACAGCACACACGCCATAGACAGGCCAGCCATCAGAGAGAGTGTGCACTCCCCAGACACTTCCAGCGACACGGATCACGCACACCTTACAATCAGCCGAGACAACACCCACACAGCCCACACTACACCAGCAGGCCCCGCTAACGCTACCGAAGGGAAATATACTACCGCCAAGCAACACACCAATGGCTGAGTACACCCAACAGTCAGCCCCGACGCCATCGACAGGGCACATGTACAAGGCAGCACAGATAGCTCACACAACACCATTCAAACAGCAACCACAGACAACACGCACGGTGCATACAGGCGAACCGAAGCACTCGCCACAGACAGCACAGACGCTGCCGAAGGAGCACGCGCGGGGACACGGCGGTCTGTTCGGTGGTCACCGCCGCCGCACAGTCACCACACGGAAGCAGACGCGAGACCAGCCAAGTCTAGAAGGCACTGAGCATGCGCATGGGGCAGACGGTGCATGTGACTCGTCACAGACGCACTTGCAGGGGGTGGGCGCCAGTGTGCTGTCGTACCCTCAGAGTGCGTTGAACGGCAATGTTGGCCGAAGGAAAAGGGGCGCTAAGGTGGACGCGGACGTAGCCAAGCACCTGTTTGAGGATAAGTATTCGAACCATCAGGGCTCGCGTATCAGGCTGGGTACCACTGCACGTGAGAGTGTGTGAGTGCGCTTGTATGTACTTTATTGCGGAGATATGATCGGTGGCGGCCACATATTCACATACGTGCGTGTACAGTGTACTCAGCAGTCCAGCAGGGCTCAGCGGTCGACTTCTCCGCTTTGGAGTATAAGATACACGCGTCTAGAATAGGGAATTGATATAATTGATTTATAGTGTCAATATATATACCAGAGGATATAAAAGATATACAGGGTGTGGGTTTTAGGGTTTATGGGTTTAGAAAGTGGGGGAGGATGCGCATTGAGGGGCTTATTCGGCTTACTATCTTCTAGGTTGAGGAAGTCTTGAATGAGGGCGAAGGTGCTCAATTAGTGCGTCTAAACCGCGTAGAGGGAAGAGATTGTAACATCCCCACCAGACTGTCGCAATTGTGTGGGCGATGGTGAGCAGCTACTGTGCAGGTGGTTATTATGCAGATGGTTACTATGCAGGTGGTTACTATGCAGGTGGTTACTATGCAGGTAGTTTTATTGCGTGCACGACTGCACGTACACCGATTGCTACTACTACACAAGAGCGTGGAGGTTTCCCGTTGGGATGGGTGGTGTAGCGCCTGGTGCTAGTACTATGAGTGTAGTGCCTGGTGATAGTACTATGAGTTCGCGCATGCTATTCAGAGTGTACTTCTGAGACCGTCAGTGCACCATCCTTCGGTCTGTGAGATGGACATCACGGGACATCAAAAGATGTACTTTGTCAGCCTTGTTTAGAATATAAAAATATGGAATGCGTTGTGTGCCATTTCATGAAGTTGTCACTGTCTGTTATTAAAATATGGAATGAAATGTATGCCATTTCATGAAGTTGTCGCTGTTTCAAGAGACATGAACGGATGCGATACTTACCTTCCGCGCGACTAGTAAGCGTAGCTACTTGCACAAATTCGGATGCCCGTGGACGTCGTCAATGCCTACGGAGAGATACGTTCTATCTGTACAACTCTATCTGTGTGAAGACCTCAAGATATACGCACATCGCTTGACGTGGTAATTGTGTGCAAAGCCATTTATACTTACGAGACATGCATGGGTAATTTTAATAAATTTATTCCCACCTATATATACAATGGGATTAATCCAGCGACATGCATGGGTAATTTTAGTTTATTCTCACATTTATATACAATGGAATTAATCCAGAGACATGCACGGGTTATTTCACAATTTATTCTCACATATATATACACTGGAATTAATCCAGAGACATGCATGGGTAATTTCAAATAAGTTTAGTCTCACAAATATATGCAATGGGGTTAAACCAGAGACATGCACGGGTAATTTTAACAAATTTATCCCCACATATATATACAATGGGACTAATCGAGAGACATGTATGGGATATTTCAATAGGTTTATTCCCACATATATATACAATGGGACTAATCGAGAGACATGTATGGGTTATTTCAATAAGTTTATTCCCACATATATATACAATGGGACTAATCCAGAGACATGCATGGGTAATTTCAAATAAGTTTATTCTTACATATATATACAATGGGATTGATCGCTCCGCGAGAGGCGTAGCGAGTATGTTCTGGATGGAGGTATGATAGCTGCACTCCCTTAAGTTACCCTCAGCCCTGGAAACCACCACCGGGGTTTCTTAGTACCAAAATGACCGAGTCTCCCCTCAGGAAGAGTTTGCTGATGAACCTGTCCTTGTTTACAGGTCTGGCCACTTTCTGACCTTTAGCTTTCTTGGGCACCTCTGTCCACATCTCCTTCACATCCTCGAGTACCATATTGCAGTGACGGTCGAACGCCTTCACTCGGCCCAGCAGTTTGCGGTTGTGGCGACAATTTATAAGGACCTGCAGTGGGTAGACGCAGCACTACCCGTCAGCACTTGTGACTGTCGGTACATATTTGTGTTGATAGAGACGACACTTGGAGATGGGCTTGCTATCCCGGCAAATTATTAGATACAAAACCAATGCGCTTCGGCGGTTGCTTGGTGATTCTTAATAACATTTCGGATCGCATGGCCTTGTGCCGGCGACGTTTCGTACAAATTTGTCCCCAGGGTAAACACCTATAGACACGGTAAATTCTAGCAAATCCTCGGGCATACGTTTAAATACATACGTTTAAGTAGGACTGGAACAGAAACCTCGACAATCTGTGCCACACAAGCTGCTGCTGCCAGCTCACTAAAAAACACACTCGCAACATATTCATTAGATGTATATACATATAAGACGAGCCGCCAATACATGCCTGAGAGTTGGTCTTCACAGCCTGCGTCAGTACTGACAAGGGACCGGTTTGGAATTCATTCTCCTCGATCTCTTTTAGTTCCAATGCGGACATCTCATGTTTGGGTTTTCTGCGTAAGAATAGGAACAGGACAATCTAATGATATCAGCTTGAGCCAATGGACCGTTGCCCATACCCATAATTTCTGGGCCAAGCCATAAGAATGATAAAAAAACGCAACCAGTTCTTGCAGTACTTTGGGCAGAGTTCCGTGCACGACGCATCAGCGGATATGAACAGCAATATATAGTAGGTGATGGTTTATATAGTTGTGAGTATCATCCCCAAGGATGAGTATGTAATGAATATAAATGGCAAATATGTTTTGTTCTTATAGGTGTATATATCAATGTGTTCGTACGAAATTATATAACATTGTCCGCATATCTCATACAGAATAATTGTGCAGATACACCAATACACACCCGTGTATATAGATATATGTGCATGTATGAAAATGTGTTGCGTTTATTGATAATCCTATATTCATGGAATATGAGTGCATGTATGTACACTTGGCTTCACAACCCCTAAAACCACGATGCCTATAGCCTATCAGTGTAAACTATCATGATTTAATTTATACTTCCCCCCAAACTTAGACACATGCTCACATTTGGACAAATAGGCACTCAAATCGCAACTGCACATCAAACTTGAACACCATATCGCACATCAGCCAATTGAAATAAGCTCACGGTTTCGAAATACCTGTAATATATACATATTTATAAAAATAGATATATATATATATATACATATATATATGGATATATATACATACATACATATAATATATATATATATATATATATGCATACACACATACTTACATATATATACATTAAGTATGTATGTGTGTATGCATATATATATATATATATATATGCATGCACACATACATACATATTTACGAATATATTATATACATATATATATATAGATACATGCATGCATACATACATACACACTTATATATATACATATAGGCATCCACACAAACACACATATATAAAAGTATATATACATATATAAATATATATAGGTGTGCGTGTGTGTGTGTTGATATTCCTATAAAAAATATATAGATATGTATATATACATATAAATACATACTCACACACATACATATATACTTTATATATATATGTATACATACTCACACACATACATATATACTTTATATATATATATGTGTGTGTGCAATATATATATAACGTATATGTACCTGTAAATACTTTTATCTATACACGTATAGGCATGCATACATACATACATTACATATATATATATATATATATATATATATGTTTTAGGTTTATATATATATATATATATATATATGTGTGTGTGTGTGTATGTGTGCGTGTGTGTGTACTATATATATATATATATATAGGTTGGTATGAAGATACGATTACATATATACATATATATGTGTATACATACAGATATATTTGTGTATGTATATGTATCTTTTTATGTTCATGAATGCGTACATACGTATATATATATATATATATATTTATATGCATTTTAATATATATATATATACAGGTATGTATGTATGTATGTATG